TGTGTTGTTAATGAATTTATTGCATTTCTCATGATTCCCCTTCTTTGTGTGTCACATATGTTGAGCAGAGACGACAGCAGGCTTGCCGCACAAACTCAACATGTTTTTTTTAGAGAATAGCACCGTGATTTTGCACAGATGTACACAAAAGCAAGCTTATAATTTCAAAGCTGTCTGTTTCAGGAAGGCCATTTTAATGCTTACCAGTTGTTCTATTAGCCAGAAAACAAACAACATTTGTGGAATGGCTGCTGTCACGGTATTCTAGCCTCCTCAGAGCTAGATCTCACATAAATCTGATGTGCTTGTTCCACAAGATGAGATACAGACAGTTAGGCGGCCAATTCTAGCTAAGCATGGTTGGTATCTAATGTCTGTTGTAATTAATCACAACAGACACAAATTATTTCCCTCTGTTGTTGTGTTTATAAGGTTGCTTACATCATACATGGGATCTGCCCATTGAACAGATTCTAATTCTGAAACATAAACAAATTCAATTTCTATCAAAAATATTCTTCTTGCACTTAAAATATTCGAAAAAAGTATCACTTTTTCAGAATCTTCCATTTTTTAAATGTCTTTAATAAGATTTTTAGTATTTCCTAGCAATGCACTAATCAGACTCTTCCTGCCTTATACCAAGCTCAGATTTGTCTTTAAATTTTGACCCACTAAACATGATTTTTAGCAGTTATTTTGTTAAGATGACAGTGCAGTAAACATAGAAATGCACTGCAGTAAACATAGAAATGCGCTGCAGGTTATTTGCTAGAGATGGTAGTTCTGAATAATTTAAATTACAATAACTTCCCCATTAATGCATTAAAGCTTGTCTGTATTAAATAATTTTCCGTTTTTATTTTTATATAGCGAGTACAACACAGATTTTGTACTTTAAAGAGAGAAGGATAGAACAACTTCTGATTACAAGATGATACTCTACCCACTGAACCACAGTTAGTTAGCTGAAAGACAACTGTTGAAAATATTCCTTGAAATTCTTTTATAGTATGGGAATTAAGAGGACCAGGCCATCACAAAGCAACACAGACACAAAGGACAGACAATCCTCATTTTTATGATTATTGTTGTGTTTTTACACAAGGTTGTCATGCCTAAATAGCACCAGACTTGTTGAGCTATTTGTAAAAATACTTTAAGTATTTAATTTTTTTTTTTTTTTCTGTAACCAATACTCAGCACTTTTTGTTTAGTTTCCTTTGTATATAAATTGGACGTGCAGCTGTAGCTGAGTTAATTTAATTTATTTATTTTTAATTTTTTCATAGCTGATTACAATCAACCTTCTCAAAACTCCTTTTTGTTGAATTAGCATATGTCTAGTATCGCCTTTGCACTACAGCAGGGATATTTCTGTTTATTACTGTTTTATTTTTGGTTCCTAACTATTGTACTGGGAGGAAGGTTATTGGTGTTGCGCTAGGCACGATCCTGTGACATAACTGTAGCATCCCGGCAGAAGCTCCCCATATGCATTAGCATAAGGCGTATGCTAATGCTATCTCTCTGTCTCTGTCAGTAATGTTTAGAACGTTAAAAATAGTTCTCACGGTTTTTGTGCTCCATAAAAGTATAATGTTAGTTGTTTTTAAGTGTTTTAAAGACTTCGGGTTTGGTTAGAATTAAACTGTTACTCTTATAAATTTTGTCTGAAACTTTCCCTCCAAAATGTGTTTGTTGGGTCGCAGGGATGCTATACCCGCTGGTTGAGTGTGTCCCACACTGTGTCTTATAGGTATGTGCCGAATACACACTGTTACATGTTGTGGTTCTATATCTTTTAATTTAAGGAGTGTGTTTTAGAATAGGTCCTTTATGCATTATTTTACATAAAGCAGGAACTTTGAGCTTTGTATTATACTTTTGGTTTTTATTAATATTATTTTTGCATTATGCATTAATATATTTTCTTGATGCTGATTTGTACACAATTTTATTTTTCTTTATTCCATTTGTTGTCAATATACACAAAAGGAGAAGCTGCCTAGCTGTGCTTCTGGATCTGACTGTGTGTATGCTGCACCTGCTGGTTGAGTGTGTCCCACATTGTGTCTTAAAGGAATAAACTGGTGCAGATCCTGATTCCAGTGTGAAGTTATTGGGCCATTTGACAACTGTTACAGACAATGACTTTAGTGTTCATTGGATGAGTAGAATTTCAACTCAAATTCACTTTGTCTCCATTTTTTTTTTTTTTTTTTTTTATAATGTCAGATATCTGTTAGGGTGGGGAAAAAATGGAGCGGTGCCTGTCAGTCCAGGACATGTGATAAGTGACACACCGCAGACCCCATTTTGATGAAACTCCAGAGAGTCATGCTTCACCCAGCTTTGGCATTTTCAAAATTACTATGTTTGGCCCAAGGTGGGAGCAGCAATTACCTGGCAAACATTTTAATAACCAGTCATATCTCACTCGCTACTGAGGGGAATATCCAACTATCCATGCTCTACAAATTAGTCTCCAGGGCCAACACTTTAAAACACATTGCATTTGCCACTGTTTTCAGTTCCCCCAAACCTGTTTGCTGCCAGGCTTTTTGTTGTTTTTTGGTCTAATTTACAGATGAATGGGGTCATCTGTATGTAAACTGTATGTTCTCAGTTTCAAAGTGATGCAAAGACCCAAAATCTCATATCTAATAAACCACATTACAGCCTTTGTGACAGGTAATTACCACTCATGATGTCAAACCAATGGCACTAATTATAGACATCAAAGCTTTTAATTATCAGCAGAGCTATCAGAATGGGCCCAGTGCTGCTTTAAGCAACACTTTTATGTCAAAGGCACACCTGTCACCTGGCGCTCTTAATTAATAACTATGTCAGACAGAAGCACTAAAAAGCAACCCCTTTCAGATTGAAAACTGTAGTCACAATACGCAACGTCAAGATTGAAAATGGGAATTTTTTCCCCACTTTTTAGTTTCGATTATATTCATTTCAATCGCTCAAACACACACAAAAAAAAGTATGAAAGCATCAATGATGAGGGCTAGGCTGTCAAACATCGATGACGTTAGCTGTGGAACAGAGAACTTGGCTGTCAATGCAGAAAACAATCAGTAATCAAGAGAAAAGTAGTGAAGGAGAAGTCTGTGTCTAGAATTTCAATTCCTAGAGTTAAAAGGTATAGAGCAATATCTAGTGTGGGAAGGGAAGTGTGGGAAGAAGTTGTCAGGGAGCAATAGATTGGAGTTCTAACAAATTGATGCCCTAATGAGGGATATAAAAGTGTTCTGCTATGACTCCTGTCTGTCTGCTATTCATCACAGTGATTAATGACTAGACACTGTAATTCATAACACTATTAATTTGAAACTGTTACATTCATGTTTTGTGTTTTTTTTCTGTTCTGGTTCCAGATCATCACTGTTAGTCTGATTTGTATAGGTGTCAGAACTCCTATTTCTTCAGAACAACTGTCACCAGGAGTACCATGCAGTAATTTGCAGACTTGCAGGTTTTACTTTTCTCCACATAATTACGATTTACTTGTGGAGGTTTAGCTGCACTATAGTGATGTAGCTGTCAAAATATTTATGCATTTTCTATGTGTCCCTGGTTATAGGGAATACTTTTGGAAAATATATTTAGTTTGGCTTCATCTTTGTTTGATAAAATATGGTGTGATAAATCTGTGGTGCTATTTGCAACATTTCCACAGTCTTAAGAGATGGGGTCATTTAAACCCCACAATTTTTTATTTTTTTATTTTTTTTTACTCTTTGCTTGGTGTGGGGTCGCATTGACCCGGTGTGCGCTTTTACTAGATTTTTTAGTGTGTGTGTCTGTGTGTGCTATTGGAAACTGATCGTCTGACAGGACAACCCCCCTCCTCGCTTCCCTGCTGTCCAACTGTGAAATTTGCAGCGCTCCTCTTGAGCGCTATAACCGTCCCGTCCCATTACTCTACTTACGTAATAGAAATTAAATAATGACAGCTGAAGTGGTTGAACTTTCGTCTCTTCAGGAGATAGCATAGTATGCTGTACCTATCAATACATAGAAATTATAAAAACAGATTTACAGAAAAGGCAACAATATAAGAAAACTTGTCAGTCATGAGCATTATGTGGAAATGTATCAAAATCTTGTCTCTCCTACCTCTCTATTTCTTTAAACTACCGACATTTACTTTTTTCATAACATGTTGTTTTGTTTTAAAGGGTTTCTTTATGTCAATGCTCCACATGTAGTCGCTGAAAGAATGGTTTAAATAGTCAGATGGTATGTATAGTCAAATGTTCTATTCGTCTGCGCTCGGACAAACGGAAAACGAGTTGCTTCTGCAAATAATTTTTATGAATAAACACATGGAAGAAGCAGCGAGAGCTTTGTGATTCAAGGTGGTCCACAAACAACATCAGATATTTTGCATTCATTGGCAACACATAACAAGTTGAGACTTTTGTAAAAGCACATATTTTCTAACCAGATAAATATTATGTTCACAGCACCAGCAGTCACCTTGGTAATCTGGCAGGTCACTCCCTACTCGGCAGAACTGTAGTAGCTGTGAAATCAATGTGGACTGCCTTCTTCTCTCCTCTTGGCTTAAAGATTCAAGTTGTAAGATAATCCAGGGACAGAAGGGATTTCCAGCAGAGAAATCCGACCTGTTCACCTGTTTACTTCCATGTAGCTCATTTACATTTCCTGCGTAGCTGATCTTTGTAGCAAATGTTCTCTCTTGCAGGAGGTAAACAGCTATTTTGTCTATCTGTCATAATGTACAGATTCATAGGTTTTCTGATACTAAAATATGATGGGTTTTTTATTTCCTTTAAGTGATTTTTCTAAAACAATCAACTTCTCACTCTGACCTGAAAAGTTTGGATTTCAATCTGTCTCCAGGCCACTACAACACACTTTTAACACTCTGAACATGTTGGCCATCAATACAATAAAGTAGTAAAAGCACATTTACTGTCTGGTTTTGATGTGTGTTCAAGAGGTTGTTTGAATAAAAGGTGTGTTTATGTGTTTATATTTCACAGAATATCCCAGCACTGCCTTGCGGTAAAGCACTCTATTCATATGAAGGCAAGGAACCAGGCGACTTACAGTTTTCCAAGGGTGATATTATCATCCTGCGGCGCAAGGTGGATGACAACTGGTACCACGGGGAGCTTAATGGTTGCCATGGCTTCTTGCCAGCTAGCTACATCCAGCTGCTGCGTCCCCTGAGTCAAACCCCACCTCAGGGCAAAGCTTTGTATGACTTTGAGGTCAAAGACAAAGACCAGGATAAAGACTGCCTGGCCTTCAGCAAGGTAACACACATACGCACACTTGACACATCCACCTGTAGGGCGACGGTATTTCATAAGACAACCAGATGAATATATGTGGCTTAGACTGATAAATCAAAGAGGACATTTTAGGGAATGATGTGCAAGATTATAGAAGCAAACATTTACCTGCAGAGTTTAACCAGGCTGGTTGATTGTTTGTTTGATGAATAATTTATTAGATATGACTTTGTGTTTCAGAAGCCTCTTCAGAGTGAAAGAACCCGATTTGCTGGCTAGCAATTGCAATTCATACATTGTAGATTATTAAAGTGTAAAACAACCTTGTAAATTTATACATAGACCTTGAACTTTCCCAGATTGTATCACACTACAACCACAACGTTGTGTGCGTTTAGACACCTCTAATTTCTTTCTACAGATTCAAGTCTCTGAAGTGTAGTTTGTATTTGTATTTAACTCCGCTGAGACAGTATTTTTTGTTAACTGCCTCTTGCTGCAGTTGCAGCTTTAAATATTTTGTGGTAAGTCCTCATCACCATAGCATGTCGAACTGACACTTTTGGCCATTCTTCTTTGCAAAATACTCAATTTCAAGGTGTCTGATTACAGATTCAAATTTCGTTTAAGTCATGTTTGATGTATATATAGCATTTTTTTAACAACTTGAGGTAACACAGTTACTCGATTGTGCCATAAAATGGCACTATGTGTCCAGAAAACACATAATACTACCTCTATAAGGAACGGCCCATTTTTAGCTCCATCCAACCCATCATCTACTGTGCTTTCCTGCCCTTATAAAAGAGAGACATTCCATGCTATGCATTATGTTGTAATTACCTTGTTTTATTGTGGCTATGGTATGTTCAGGGTGATGTGTAGGGTTACTCATATACAGGCTAAATAGCCTCTATGGAGGCCAGGAAATTCTGCCTTGTTTTTTTTCTTTTTCTGACCCGAGGATCTCTTTCCATATGTTTGCTGTTCCCCTCATGTTGTGTGTCGCAAAATGCAAACAGAAATAAACAGAGGACAAATAATAGTTGTCCTCTGAAAGACTGTGGCACCTGAAGCAGATCTCTGTAGGTCCTTCGGAGTCAACCTTATAACTTTGCTTAATAATCTGTTAGGTTTGGTAATAGTAAAAAAATATATATTTTTGTCAAAGTTTTAAAAAGTTTCAGTATTATTGTAACTACTGGTAGTATTAGACAGAATTTTACAGTTATACGTTTGCCGTGAAGTGTTTGATATGTGAAGAAAAAAATCACTAAGGAGGCAGCTGCTCTTCGCCATGATCCAAAAGGATTTGGCTGAAGCTGATTTTAAGGCAGGCTTTGATGTTTTGGAGGGAGATTCTGGCAGCTGATTTACTCTGCGCTCATATTTAAATAGTTTATGTTTACATGCCAAAACTCTACCAGCCTCATAATAAGACTTAAAAATACGGAAAAATCTTTTGCCCTGTCCAATTTTTTGGTCTGTTCACTGGAATAAATAATAGCTACTGCATATAATTTAGTGAATTTTGACTGCATACAGTTTTACAGACTACATAGAAGCTGCAATAAACAACTGTTTTGTTTTTTTTTATTATTGAAATTGTATCAAGGGAAATTCAACCAAACTGTGATTAGTGGCTTTCAGATGTTTACATTGCTATTTATGCTTTTTTCCCAAACTTAATGTGACATTTATTCCGTCTAAGTAATCCAACAAATCTGACATTGGGAAAGTAAATCTTGAGAAGGAATAAAATAAAATAATAAAAAAGGGCTTGGTAAGAGATGTGCAGTCCTTCAATACTATTAGGTTGAATAAAGTTCTTGAAAAGTATAACATAATACAAATGTTGATGTGGTCCGCAAAGCTTACCTTGTTCCTGCTCTGTGAACAAGCTTTGTGCTCTCCGTTTTCCACATTTTAGAGATTGATGAGAAGAAACAGGTTAATAAATTATACCATGTATTGACTCCTGTGCAGTTGAATTGAGACAATTCCTATCCAGATTAAGTGATAACAATGAGCCATCAATAGTTCACACCATTTCTCATTTTAGGGTTAAGCTAATCAACAACTTTATGACTGAATATTACATTAAGCCCATAAACTCACTCAGAGACACATGGTGTGCTGTATTTGTGTTGTCATGCAGAACCATTGAGTGTGATATTGTTTTCTCAGTGTGAGAGGTAATTACTCAGAATGACTAATATACAGCCATTTAACAGCATTATCACTGCCATCCTGTAATGGCCTTACCAAGGCCTTGACGTTAGGAGAGAAAGCAGCACTATGTGGGCGTGTGTTGGGAAACAATGAGTGTAATCTATTCCTGAGATTAAGTAAGCGTAAAGGAAAGCTAATCGAAACCTTACAGGTTGAGATCTGACAGTTTCCACACTGCGTACAAAAGAAGTGACTGATATCTCGACTTGATAAAAACAATATGTGTCATTGTCTTAGCTGGCAAGATTTGTGAATAAATACCTCTTTTTGTTTGAGCTGCTTTGAAAAAGAAGGAGAAAATACTGAATGAGGAGTCGCCTGCTCTTCATGCACGTTATGATTATCTTCGAGACTTTTGGGTACATTTTCTGTGAACTGGCAAAAAGTGGTGCATTGTGGAAATTGTGCACCACGCTACACTTCGAGTACTAACAGTCAAACTCTTTGGTGGCTTTATGATGGTCTAGGACTATTTGCTGCTTCAAGATCCAAACAATTTCCTGACAGAACTCTAAATTGTGCTCTCTGCCAGAAATTCCTGAAGGTGAATGTCTGGTAATCAGTTTATGACTTTAAGCTAATTCGCACTTGGATGATTCATCTATAATCCAAGCACATATTTGTTCTAGAGTTGGTAAAAACATTAAACAAAGCACATTCTGGGACTTCCTTCTAAACAGCACAACGCTGAATTTTTTCTGTTTTCACATTCTTACCCACATATCCCTGTGGAGTTGTTAGAGGACCTCTGCCATCTCCAGCAATCACTGGGCAGTCTGCTAGTTCATCATGCGTCAACACAGAGACACACAGAACAGATTGCACTCTCGTACTTAAGGGCAATTTATTGGGCCCAGTGCACTTAGCAGTCATGTTTTTGGGTGATGAGAGGAACCCAGAATACCTAGAGAGAGCCCACACATGCATGGGGAACATGCAAACTTCATGCATAAAGACTATAGGTTAGGATTCAAGTGCAGGATCTTCTCGCTGCTAGGCAACAGTGCTACCAACTGCAACATTATGCAGCCATCCGAAAAAATGCAAAGCAAATTTCATGAGTATCTTCTTTAAAATGGGAAACGAGTTGAAAGTGTCCTTACATTCCTTTGTTCAGAAGTCTCTCTCTCTTTTTTTAAACCATAACCATTTTTTAGGACTTTCTCTTCCGCTTCAAATCCAACAAAATTTCTATTTGCTTTGAAAAAAAATCACCATTGCTGGACATTTCCCAGTGGCTGTGAGGAAAGCAGTGAAGGCTCTCATTGTTTGAGCCTTGTTAAATGTCAGTCATACTGCGGGTAAAAGGGTTAAGTGTGAATTCATCTGTCACCATCTTTTCTGCCAACCTTTGCCAGAAAGGCACACTTCAGAAAAGAACACTAAAATTCAGCACAAAATTATTCTACTCTCGAAAAGAACAGCTATGCTTCATAATTAATTTTGACATTCATTCACACCATCAGTAGTAGTGTTTAAGCTTTTGATTGTCTGAAATTGGAATTGCATATTATTTAATTGAAGATGATCTACTGATACAACCAGTTCCTTTTCTATGCCAAAACAAACAAACAAACAAAAAAACAATTATAGCCCAAGAGATAGCACATAATAAAAAATATCTACTGCATTTAACATGTGCCTTTTTTTTCTGCCATTTAATGCAAATGTTGAATTTCTAATACATTCATTTTTGTATAATTAATAATTTTGTAAACATCAGACCAGATGAGACCTATTTGGAACACATTGTTGGTTCAATCATGGTGCATTCCCAGTATTCATTGTGCATGTCTGTATGTATATGTGCTATCACTCTTTTCCTTTCCCTCCAGGACGAGGTTCTGACAGTAATCAGACGCGTAGATGAGAACTGGGCAGAAGGCATGCTGGGAGACAAGATTGGCATCTTTCCCATTCTTTATGTCGAGGTAAACTGACTCACAAAGGAGCTGTGAAAGCATCAGTAACACTGCAGCAGCACACCTGTTCCACTCTGTATTTATCATCGTTTCTCTGTCTGCTAAAAGAAAGAAAACACATTTCTCCTGTAATCTTTGATTGCACAAAACGAAATGGCCTCAGGTGGGATGTATCAGCTGTGTTTGGTTTTCTGCTAAATTTAGAAAAGTGGAAGCCTAATGGTTCAGATTTATCAAAAACAAGAGGATTCGGCAAAGGAATCATCTTGATGATGAATAATGAAAACTAAACTTATTTCTAACAACCTCATTAAGGCAAATGCATTCGATTCTAAAACTGTATATAAATATAGAATGGTTTCTTTACAATTTCCTAAGGGACATTTATCCAAAGATTTGTGGGGTCTATATACATATTTGAGCATGTATGCTCAATTTAGACCATGTGTAAATAGGATAAAACTAGCATTACATTAAAACTTGTGCAGCCAATTAAAATTGAATGTTTTATAATTCATCCATCTTGGAAAAAGAACATTTCCACTGCATCATTAAAAGCCCCGAATTTATATGACATTCATGCCGACGACGAGTGTATGTAAATTACTGTCACTGCATGCGCTAAGAAATGTGTTAATGTATGCTTCTTAGTCAGAATGTTAAATTGAGGCATCTCAAACTGAACCGTAATCTAAATGCAACCAAATGCAATTAGTCCGAAAAATGCAAATAGCATTAGCAAATGCTGCCTGACATTTTGCAGTTATAGAGCCTTTCCTAAAAGGATGTCTTCACTGTAAATGGAAAAAAAAAAAAAAAAAAAAAATTTTAAAACCCAAAAGCGTTTTACCTTCTCTCTTCACCCCATGCCTGTCAAGAGAGAAATATAGTTTACGTTAATCCCTGAGCAACTGAAGAAATATCATTCACGGTTTGAAGCCGGATCTCATTTAAGGCTCTTAAGCAGTATTAAAAAGACGCTGGTGAAAAATGTGTTTTCTTCTTTTCTCTCCCCATCAACACAAATGAGGAAAAATGCTGACTTTCCCCAACCCTGTCAAAAGGAAGTAATGGAAGCTTCAGAACTGAATGACTATACAGTCAACGGGAAAAATGTTTTAGTCTGATTTCTATCTAGTGTCTGGGGGTCATTTCCATTGAAACTGATGGATAAAACAGTATTTTTGTAAAATCTAATAAAGTAGTAATTCTGTATTGAAGCCTTTTTTTTTTTAGAAATAGAAAAAATATATATATTTGAAAGTGTGTATTGATGCCACCTCAGCTGTAGATGGATTCTTTATTTATGATAAAAAAGAGTCCCACCACTGGTGTGGAAAAGACTTGAAGTGTTGCCTGTATGTGCATTAAAATCTGCTATGCACTTTTATTGGCTGGTCCAGATGCCAATAAAAATTACAAGTTTAAACTTGATAAACTTTGTTACATGTTTACTTGATCAGTAAGCAATCTGGGGTTAAGTGCCTTGCCCAGGGGCACATCGACATGTGACAGGGGGAAGCTTAAGTTGAAAATCTTGCAATTCCAAGACAACTTCTTTTCCAAAGAGTCACAGTAGTAAATTTTTTATAATTTGATGAAAAAAAAAATTATATACTACCACAAATAGTCTTAAGTAAGCATGCATCTTAGCCCACTGAGGATCTTTGCACAGAGACTTGTTCATCGAGACTATAGACTAACTTTAACTTTCTTTCTGTTTATTTTGATATGACTTGTTAATATTGTAGCCACATATATCGCTAGTGTTGGCTGAGCACTATGCTATGTTCGGATCTCTACCACATCACTGTTGGTTAAACTTTAACTGAATATTCCCTTCCCTCCGGTTCTGGAGTGCTTGTTGTTTGTTCCAGATCCAGATTGGAATGCCAATTTTGAGAAACCATTCCCTAACAAATGTAGAAACCTTCCCTAAACCCTTGCATTTCAAAAAAGCAGTCAACATTCTCTAGTGAGGAATTCATACTGAAAAATAACTGTGGAGAAAAAAAAATTTAGATTCATGTTTTCACTTTAGAAAATTATATATACAATATATATTTACAAATATGTTTTGTGTTACTTAGTTCCACCAATAGTCTTAAATACATCTTTCAAACTCAGCAACAAATAAAACAAGAGGTAACTCATTGAAAGAGAATCAAAAGATTGATGAATTTGTTGCTGGGACTGAAGTGAAATTAACATACTGCATTATAACATATTCAGCCAAAAGACCCTTCTATTCCTCCACCAGTACTTTCAGCAAGAAAGTCTCACTTTAAAATACAGTGTAATGAAGATGCAAAGAAAATCCTAGTTTTGAGCTCTTAAATGTCACAGTCCTTTGCACAAACTTCTTAATCTTTCTTGGATTGCTGCTGACTCTGACTTAGGATCTGGACCACCCAATCAAGTATCCCAAAATTAGCTGGTGGACCAAACTACTCTCTCAGGGATTAAGCTATGGTCGGAGCAAGGTTGGGGCTAACTCACGCAGACACACAAGGGATCCTATTAAATGGAGATGCATCAATAATTTAGACCTCTCCATCACTGTGACACAGCAGGGGTGCAGGGGTCTGTGTTAGGATTCGTATGTGTGTATGCAGTGAGAAGCTAATGAGGGAGCTCAGCTGGAACCTCTCCTGATCTGCATGTGCGTGCGTCCGCGTGTGCATGTAGATGCAACGTATCATGTTATCATCTGTGCTATTATTTTATACACTTGCCAAAATAACAGGATAAGTTTTGTGTTATGACTGGCAATTTGGGAACATTATCCTGAGATGCAGTAAAACTGGGAGAGAAAAAGCAAAGGGTTGTCTGTCAGAGAAATGCTTCTAAAACTGGATGCTGATATGCCAAATCAGGACACAACAATATACAACACTGCATGGGAAATAATTGCAATGATTTTCTCTTCACCAGGCTCACAAAGAAAATATAGCAAAACATCATAAGTTTTGGCTCTCTAGCTGTACTCCAGTTATTTTACACAGCTTCACCAATAACTGATTATTAATTTTGCAAAAACCTACTTAACCAAAGCAAAAGAAAAATGCTCACTGAATTGTTTTGGAACTTGTAAAATAAACATAAGCTGCAAAAAAGAAGATCTATTTGTCTTCTTTTATCAAGTTACAGCAGGGATGGTTCCT